TCCCAATCTCAGCCGGACTTCTTAGTGTTCAGTCTCATTTCAGCTTGTTGAAAAAGATCAAATTCATAATGCTGATATTTGTAATTGTTTATTAGACTTTACACATTTCTGATAAACTTACCCGACTTTCTGTAATATACTTCATACTCGTCAACAGACGGACCTTCCTCATCCGGTACCCAGGTTACATTAATTGAGTTTACGCCTACAAGTGGAAACAGAGGAGCCTCTGGAACGCTTGGAGCTGAAATAAGGTAATAGATATTTATTACATTAGTGACATGGCAAAGGGACATATTTATTAATCTAGTGTGTGTGATGGCAAGCAATTATGATACACTTCTATATTCCATAAAAGGGGGGGGGGGGGGTCACATACTTTGATTAACAGATAGTTTTTTTTTTATTTCGTGTTTACTTCCTTCTCGTGTATATTGTTGTTTGCATTTCTTTTCATGTTAACACGGCTTTGTATTTCTGGCTCCAGAGATTTCTTAACGCTATTTGAGGATAATCTTTGCATTTCCAACTGTAGTACTTTTTCTATCAGGTTTGAAAGAGAGTTTTGCATTTCTGACTCCATGCTTACTTCACATTCTAGGGACAGGCATTGTATTTCAGACTCCAGAACTTTCTTTGACTGCTGTTTAAAGGTAGCCTTTGTAATTCAAACTCATCACTTTCTCTACCTTCTGTTTGAGGGCAGGCTCTGCATTTCAGATGCAGCACTTTCTCTACCTTCTGTTTGAGGGCAGGCTTTGTATTTCAGGCTCCATCATTTTCTCTACCTTCTGTTTGAGGGCAGGCTCCGCATTTCAGATGCAGACCATTTTTTATGTATTTATTAAGTTTATCATTTTAAACTTACGTCCATTTTCTCTGGTAAATTCTTCTTTTACGATAGATTCTCCCTCACCAATAACAGTATATGCTGCAATTGACACACGATATTTAACCTCTTCTTTCAAACCTCCAATCTTTTTTCTATCAATCAGACCATCAGGAACATCCACTATTATCTCAGAACCAACCTCAGTACCAGACACTAATGTAAAGAAAAAAAAGATACATCTTAATGAACCATATACTAGTGTTAATACCCATAAATATGGTACTAATACAGTAAAATACTTTATTTTCGCTTGGAATTAACTTTTGCTGAAGTAATGATTCAGTGAAAATAAAATCCAGTGAATATACTTTTTAGTCCCCGTTTGGACAAAGACCCGAGAAGAAGCCTGTCATAGCGTTATTAACTAAACAATTCAAAACAAAGGAAGACATACTCACTTTTCTGATACTTGATTAAATATCCGACAACAATACCATTTGGCTGATCTGGAAAATCCCACTTCAGGTAGAAACCAGCAGATAGAGGTGTGAGTACATAGTTAGCGACAGGACCAGGTACTGCAACACAATGACATATTGTATTATAGTGACAGATTCATTTAGTTCTGTGATGTTTTTTTCATAATACTATGTACTGGTAGATAAATTTAATACACCATGTTTGAGGCATTAATTTGTTAGCATGTCCATACAGCATCCGAGAGATTACATGTCATCTTCTGTGGTCTGCTTTCCTCTCAGCAGTGAAGAGTGCCAGACTAACTGCAATCTAAAGACACTATACACTGATCTTGTTCTCAGTGCACAAAACCAATCATTGTACGTTTTCGTAGGAAACCTGGGACTTTTTCTTTATAGGGTAAAAGAATGATTGGACACGAGATATTGTTAAGGACAATGACCGACAAAAATAACATTTCAGGCAGGATAAATCAAAGAAACCTTTGAAAGCACGTGCTCATGGGTATTACAAATACATATACGGTAAATATTTTAATTCAATTAAAGATTCAAGAATAGCAAGATCATACATTTGGGGTTTGCACTGTGCATTGTTTATCTTAGAGCACCTATGTACCCCCCCCGTTGAAATCATCTTGCAAAGTCTTTGTTAAGCCTGAATATGATTAGTCAAAGCATTTCTGAGCAATTGCTTTGAACACATGCACAACCCACATGAATAGACTAATAGATAGCAGAGCCCAAATGAGGTTAGGAACGTCAATTTTAGAATCCCCTGAAAACCCTAGCATGGCATTGATTATACATCTTTCCAAGTATTTCAAAACCTATAGGAACAAAGCAAATTCACCTCCTTCAGGGGTTTCCGCATTTACTGGAGCACTATAAGGGCCATCTCCTGCATTATTGAAAGCTGCAACATCAATGGTATAACGGGAATATGGAGTTACATCATCCATAATAGCAGGAGACTGATCATAGACTTTCACTATTGTCTCTACTTCTCGTTTCTGTCTTTGAACCGTCAAGGATTCACTGGAATATCGTACCTGTAAAAGAATTATCACCATGATGCTTTGTTTTATATCCATTAAATGCTGTAATATAGTGCAAGAATAAATTATTGAAAAATTATGTTGAAAGTATAGTGCGCAAGCATGATAAAATGGAGAGTTTTCCTCCTTTCGGCTGGAATCCTGTTCAGACTTTCTCGTTCTATTTCAATTCATCAGTAGACCATTGTTAACATTTATTCCGGGTGTTTATTTGACTAATTCTCAGCAGCAACATCAAGTTATAGTGGCAGTAACCTAAAATTGTATTTCTGACAAAACTTTTCACGCTTTTAATTTAACCAGAATGTATGACGTGCATATCTCAGGCCCTTTAATAAAGACACCTACAACTGATACATTAGTTTATACATGATCATGACATGACATGACACAAATCGAGTGTTACTATGACAATATCGCAAAGAGTACCAAAATATTTCCAGCAAAAATGTTGCAGCAACGTTTAGTACAACTTTATGCATTTTTCTTTGTTAATAGCGGGTCTCGTACAACATTTTTGAAAAAAATCAGGTTTTTTTACTTTGTAACGGTAATAAAAGTTGACCTTGACATTCAAGAAATTAAATCAGGAAAAAGTGAGCCTGCAAATATCAGGTACATTCATGTTTCTGTACCTTGTAGCCACGCAGATTTCCTCTTAAATTTTCAGATGGTACTGAATTCCACATCACGTTAATTTCCGTGGGACCTTTGACTGCCACACTGACATTCGTAGGTTCTGCGTTAGGAACTACAGGAAAAGAAGAAGTTGGACATTTAAGTATCCATAGTGATATCAAGAGTGCCAGAAAACTAAAATTTGTTTTATTCTTAACACTACACTTGGTACTTCTATTTTAATGAACTAGCAAAACATACCATCTTCGCCAGAAAAGCCAACAGTTGCAATTGGTGCAGGACCACTTCCTTCCTCATTCGCCGTCTGAATAGTAATATCGTACGCTTGGAATGTTTCAGTAGGTTCAACAGTATACTGGCTAACTGTCCAGTCGGGAATTTCGATCACGGGTGTCCACTCTGTAGCATCTTGGTGTTTGTAACGAAGAAGGTATTTGAATCCTGGTGCATTCTGTTTTTCCGGTCCCATGGGCTACAACAGACATGAAAATTTATAATTGATAGATGTCCCAAATTCAGAAACAACTGTCTTTGTAGAGTGTCTTCCTTAAAACAAGGATGATATTGTTCTGTATGATAAGATACTAACTAATTGCCATAACACAAACGTTTAGTTGATTGTTGCCATGGTGATATCAATTGTCATCTTGTTAAAAATCTCGTGGAGGTCAACCCATGATACCTATATACAAGCTATTGAACCAGTAGTTTTCAAGGAGTCAATAAGAGCACATTTTTTTTACCAATATTCACCAAAAAATTGTGAATTGAAGACATCGTCACAAAATGAACAAATCTTACAAAAGTCCAACCAAAGTACCTACCATACCAAGCAATTGTTGACAGACAATCAGCTATACGAAAAGCTCCACTCTGTCATCTTTGATGACAAGAGGACAAAAAATATGAAATCATCACCAGTTCATTTTCAAAAACATTGTTCTTTGAAATATTTCAGACTATAATGGACACTATATTGCATTCCTGTGCCATAGAGTACCGTTACTACCAGCTGTAATTTTCCTGTAACAGTCTACTCCTGATCTACTCCATACTACACTATCAACCATTTCTTTATTCTAGATGCACATGAATGCACTTTTGCAGTCTATGGACAAGCAGCCAGTCAGCTGAGATAGCTCCGCTGTTAGCAATGCACATCGCAATTAAAGAACAGAAGATATCATTAGAAAATGAACAATATGCATAGTATCAAAGCAACAGGATTCAAAAATATCACTTTTCACTAAAAATAATTATCAAAATTAGATAATTGAAGATATCACCACGAAATTAACAAATCTGAAAGAGGTCCACATGTACCGTAAAATTACTTTTTGAGGCCGCAGCTTTAATAGAAGCCGCACCCTAACTTGAGACATTGTTTCATGTTGAAATTTCCAAGTTTTGATCCCAGGGAAAAGTCTGCAATATAAGCCGCACCCCAAACTTTCACAAACCAAACAGCCACCACATATTTCAGAAAAAGATATACCATTTAATTTTAAATTAAGGCATAATTTTTCGAACATT